AACAATCGAGAAATCATCGACGTGATGCAAAGTGACATGTTGTTTGATCGTGTTTGAACTGGAAATTGATGCTGGCAGCCCGGCTCGAATGCGAGACCTCTCACTCTCAAAAGTTTTTTTTCGTGAGGTGGGTCATTATATTTGAAAATAGCAATAATTACCAGTTATTTATGGGCCCAGTAAATGTCAACAATATTTCATACATTCTTGTGATTTGCTCAAGTTTATCACAGTGGAAATTGTGGGAATATTTAAATTTTTCTTGACAACCACCTGATATTTGCCAAGCCCGTAAATCTCAAATCTTCTGTCACTGTAAATTTCAATCAAATGTCATCACCAAACATCCTAAAAAGGGAATAATTCAAGGAAGTCCCAGTCATCTGACCCTTAGGATTCTATTTGTTGTGCTTCTAGGACTTCTGCTCTAAATATGGCAATAATCAAGACTTGCCTGAAATAGAGATAATCAGGCCTATTTGATATCTCAAATTTATCTATCTATATTTTTCTGTTTGCATCAAATAGAGTCTATACATCTCAAACAGCCCTGAAAGAAATAATTATACTGCTTAGTTATTTGAATGGCTTCGACCAAATCACATGTGGTATGTATGAGTACAGAGTGGTGGAGTCTATATGACAAAACTGGGACATATCTCCTGTATGTTTACCAACATTAATATATGTTGCTTTGTTGAATGGTGAAGTGCTGGCTATTATATTATGCTTGTATTTGGTTGGTTGTGGGTTCGAACCAGTCTTGTGGTTCAATTTTTTCAATATTACAAATAATGTTGATTTGCAGTGTGGCAATGCATCTATGCTTTTGATGGTAGTGGAACCTACATTACCATCAGTATATAAACACGTCATAGATGCCCTGGATAAAGTTGCATTCAGCAAATAGCGCAAAAAAATTGACACCACACAAGACCAACCCAACAAAGGCTAAATTTAATGTGCACATCTTAACCATTATACCTCCCTTGTTGCACGGTGGTGAAAGAAAGATGGTCTCTATCCACTGTGCTACGGATAGATCCATGGGTGCGGGCAAGATGAGATCTGCTGACCAACTCTACAAACAGGCACCAAGGCCGCTAAACTACAGGGCACTGCCACACTCCTCGGCAGCCGCCGCTGCCACATGCGCCCACCACCACAAAGGCGGTGTCCATGTCACCAAATGCAACAACTCTACACCAACAAGGCACCCACCTCCACTGCATGCTCCGCTTCCACTGCCCCCTGCTCTAGCAACTCCACTGCCTCCACTACTGGTGCCAATGCGGCCTCGAATTCCACCTGCTGGCATTCCAGATGCCCACCCCTCTTTGGGATGAACGTGCAAAGGCAACGTGCACTGTAGACTCTGTCGAGAGGTTGACCTTGTAGGTTTTCAAGTCGGTACAATTCTGTAATCCTCTCGGCAATGCGATATGGTGGCGACCAATAGCGAATGAGCTTCCAGAGCGACTTGAACGTATAGTCCCAGACGCTCCCTGCGACCTGAACAAGCTGGCCCCTCTTGAACGTTACCGCCCCCGCCCTTGATGCAATCACTTTGCGGTCAAACACAGCTTTCTGTCCCACTGCATACTTCACATGCTCCACATACCTGTCCAGTCGTTGCTGCGCTACGTACACCAGGTGCAGCTCGACGTCTGCCATGCTGTGATAAGGACCACGGTGCTACCATGTGTAGGAAATTGCTTCCCAAGGGTAGCTGCATTCGTCTTCTAGGGGGTGTTACAAGGTGTAATAACAATTTAGAGCGGAGACTCTTATGGCGCACTCGTTGATGTGATGTGGGGGGTGGCACTAGGGGGAATGGGCAATATAATGGCCCTGTATATTCCCAGTATATCCTAAGCATTTTACAAACATCCACAGCATATACATCCCAAGGGTCTGGATATACTCAGTATATTAGCTAATATATGGAGCATATACCTGCAATATACTGAGGTCTGATGGCTGCCATATATGGAACTCAGTATATTGCAATGATATTGCAACCAAACAAGTTAAAAAAAGAGATAAGAACACTTGCCTCAAAAGGCAACAGTCATTGCTCCATAACAATATGTACAAAGTTTCTAGAAGATGTAGAGGTACCACACACCATGGCTAAGAATCAACATCATTGATTGCTAGCTGAGAGAGAATTCAGAGTTTCTTTCTTCCACCATGATGGAGGATATTTTACTGAGGACACAACATAATATAATGACTAAGTGAGTGTCTGTATATACTTCCACAAGTCTCAAAATAGAACTAGGTGTGTGGTTGCCAACAAGCAAAAAATCTTGATAATACAGTCTATCAATATTTACTCAACCTGGTGTCTCTAATATCTATGGCTAACTATCTAATTCTCTTTCTTGTCGTAAGTTGAGCCACATAGATATTGCCCCTGAAACCATGCTGTGAAGTTTAGTGATGTCATCACTAACCATAAATGATGAGAGAGTATAGAAAGAGAGGATAAAGTTTAGCATGCTGAGACACAAGACTAGCTTCAAAGAAATCCTAGACTCAAGTAATAAAAACACTGACTTGGAGGCATTCATGATCTGTGTATAACATGCATCAGTGGAAGAAAAATGACAAACAAGATACACACTGAGAATCACTGAATTTGGGCAGAGCTGAGAGGCAATTTGATAGCCAATGTATTGAGGTACAAATAGATGAGGCTGAAATCTAAGATGCTGGCAATCCTGCTCCAATTCCTCTAATCCTGCACTGAATTTGAAGAATATGGTACAGATGTGTTCAAAAGATGTATTTTTGAGTCGTCCTTTTTCTCTTGAAGTCACGCGGATGCTCAATGCATTGAGCATCTGCGTGACTACAACTATGTAATTATGTAATTCTATGCTTCTCCAGTCCCAAGTTCAAATTTTACATGTTGCATTCTTTTTTCTTATCAAAATAAAGCTGAATAAGTGATGGCTGTGTTGTGGCAGTATGCAGAAACCTGTTTCTGAGTACAGCCACCATCTGCCACTCTCTATATAGGCCAACATGGTTCACTAGGTGATATGAAACATCCAACCTGAAGCTGAACAAAAGCACTTTCTACTTAGTCATTTATACAGCTCTCTGAATCTTGTTCCTATCTATCTCACCCAATCCATTAACACAACTGAATGGGAACATGGTCATGTGACTCCAAGATGGGTGAGAATGAGTTAATTTGAGGAAAGAATCAAGTTTTGCTTGGAGCTATCACTCTACTGCCAGGCCACTGATACTCTATTTGGTGAATGTGATCAGCCATGTTCTCAATTCAGTTCCTTTGTGTGATTGACTGAGTGAGATACTGCTATATCTGTACGTTTCTGATGCTTCCGAAGTCTTCCAGTTTCTGAATTTCTGGAAACCAATTGATTGGGTTTTTATGCAATGAAGGATTACTGAGCATTTCCCGTTTTAACTTTATTTATTTAATTGCTTTTACTTGTGTTGGCCTTCGCTGCTCCACACCTATCCCTTACAGCTTCGACTGTATCTGATTTCTTTTTAGGATATTGAAATACAGCCATACGTAATTATGACTTGGTATAAATAGTTCACAAGTTTGTATGGTACTTCAGTTTGATTATTAACGTTCTCGACTACTCATCTTGCTTCCGAGTCCCTTCCAATTTCCCTTCCGACTTTCCAAGTTTCCAATATTCCGACTTCTCGGAAACTCTCGCCAGTCCAGGTAGTATGCACACCCTTACATTCCTGTGGTGTTTGCTACTGATCCGACTCATCAGCCAACTTCTGACCTTCGGCTGACCTCTGACCCCTCAGATCATTCTGATATCGACTCGGGATATAACAGATACAATGACAGTGAAAAATAATGCACTTGCTCATTTGAGCACATTTATGGTCTGAATCACTTCAAATAAAATTGTGGCATGAACTATGAGCACTTTCAAGATGATCTGAAACACTTGAACCTTGCAGCCCCTATCTCATTGGCCTGAAATGAAATGAATAAGCAGTTTCTGAGAAATCAAGATCAGGTGTTCATGTGGTAGCAAAAAAAATTGTGAAGATAGCATGAAAGTGCTTGAAAAATAGACCTAGGTCACATTTTATTAAACCCAAATTTATTGACATTTGAGCTCATTATGCCTGTGGCAAGATGCACATTTTTGCCATTTTGAGGCCATTTGAGCTCATTTTCGCCCAAAATGGTTATTTTGCGAGGCTCATTGTGAGCCCAAATGTCAGTGAATGCAATACCACATGCTGCTAAGTATTGATTTGGAAACAACTTAGGCTGAAATCAAAGCTGATCATCAGACTGGAAGTACTCAAATCACCTTAGATTTCAGCTTCATCTATTTGTACTTCAATACTTTGGCTGTCAAATTGCCTCTCAACTCTGCCCAAATTCAGTGATTCTCAGTGTGCATCTTGTTTGTTTCACTACTCAAGGCATGTGACCTCTCTAGTATAAAAGGAAAGTCTGTGTAAACACCAGTAAATTTCTCTTGTTCTGACCCTCCATCTTTGTTCAAACCATCCTCCTAATCATCTGCTTTGGCAGCAGATGACTGGGAGGGCAGTCTTTCTTTATGTTATTCTCTTGATTGTCGCTTTGGCAGCAGCAACCAGGAGGCAACCCGCTGTGAGCCATCACCTGGTGATAGCTCCCAATGGGGGCTCAAATCAACACAACTCCGACATGTGCAAAAAGCTGAAGGCCCGATGGAGAGTCAAACTCCAAACCCCCCCCCTGTGAAGTGTATCCAGACCCGAGTAAGACTACGGAGTGCAATACCATTACGTGTTCAATGCTCAAACACTTCGATTAAACTGGCTGCCTGAGTAAAAACACTAAGGCCTGCTGAAGAATCGAACTCTGAACCCTCTGCGAAATGGCTTACCCAGACCCAATCAACAATTACGGAGTTCAATACCATTATGCCATCAGACCATTGAGAAAAGCAGGAACTCCAATTTAAAAAATCTTACTCAGACGCAAGCAATGGCTTGGCGGAGAATCAAACTCCAGTCTTTCCATTTATCAGTTTCCCACCAGTTTACACAAATGGAACGTGTTACCACAATGCCACCGAGCCCCTTTCATGCCCAAGTACCCACACGACTCTGACATCTGCAAAAAGGTTAAAGGCCTGATGGAGAATTGAACTCCGAGCCTTCCGTGAACCATACCTTGTACATAGGAATATGGAGCGTGTTATCATTATGCCACCAAGCCATTCAACCTGTTGCCTTTCGCACTTCATTTATCTCATCACACTGCAGGCAAGAGACAACACATGTGAAATCCACATGCACAATACGCATGCATTCCCGAAGTATCATGCATGTGTTGATTGTTTTGACAAAGGGCTTTGTTAAGCCCTTTGTTACCTTTCACATTGTAATTAGCTAGAATTTAATGATGTTTAATTAGAATACAAAGCAAAAATAAGCATTCTTTAAGATACTTAGCAGGAGGTTTTAAGAAATGGTGTCGCCAGCTGCCAATGCTGTTCTGGTGATGCCAAATGACGGCTTGATTGAGCTGAACAGGCCCAAATGAGAAGCCGCACAGTTGGTGCACCGGCCCCTCATGATGAATGAGAGTCACGGTATGTGCGGCACCTTTGTCCACTCACTACCACGCCCACACGTCACCTTTGTCAGTGAAACGGTTGCTCAGAGTCAAAGGCTGCAAATGCAAAATGAACAAAATCCAACTTTCGAGAGATTGAGATTGGACACAACTCAAATGAGCGAGAAAGTCCAACTTCAACTACTCAAATACTAGATCTCAAACACTAAACACCTCTTAATTGCCCCGATGATTTGTCTGACGAGTTAGGGTCTTTTTAGACACAAGTATAGGTCTAAGGAGCTCTAAGTCGGGATCTCTTTAATTGACTCTGTACTGTGAGAAGCTACTCAAAGAGGAACTTTCTCTATGGGCACTTGGTTCAAGTAACAATTTGACTAGGTCAAGATTGAAACCGAGCAGTTTATAGTTTGATTTAAGCTTCTCAGCTATAGCGCAAGTAACGGCTGAAGGCCGGCAAGTTGTTTGAACCGAAGTTCGGGTTTTTGGACACAAGTCCCACGGTTCGATAGTCTCAAATCACAAATCCCAAAATGCTCTCTCTGATCTCAAGACAACAGACACATGGCTCTCTCAACCAAACAGGGTGGTGTTATACGCCGTAGTACTCGTTGGGACATCAACCAAGCTTCACAGAGTGGATAATCATTATCTCCTTGGTAAGTGGCTATGTTTATGTTCTGTTGCCATTTAGCTGAACACTCGGAGCTCGTGTCAGCCCTTAGATGCGTGCAGAATGTAATTATTTAATAATTCCATTGTTGGTAAATTTTGCGGCTTATCATCTCCCCCATTTTTAAATGTTGACTGTCCCCAGTCAAATGGTTTCTCTGCTACTAATGGTATTTTTCCTTCCCAGGTTAAAATACTACTATAGCGCTCCCCCATATATGGTTATTCTTTGACGGACCCACAACTCGACTTCCCCGCAATCACGGAGGCAATTCCTGATTGGTTCCCAACTCCATTAAGTGGTCGAGGCAGTGTCTTCGGCTATCAAAAATTCATTTGATCGACGGATTTTCCGCTTCTGACCCCGCAAACCCCTATCCCTTTAGGATATTCGTACTCAGCACTGAATTTGCTTTCAGAACCTACCCAGGTTCCAGGCAATCCACGCTCTGGTTGACTTATAACCATTAAAACATTGTTCTGGGTGAGGTACGTTATTCCCACACAATTATTTTCGGGTCGCTTCTTTTAATTGAAAGTCTTTGATGGCAGAGACCCTCCGTCAGCGCAGCAAAGCTTAAAACTTTCAAACTCCGCTGCGTGGTTGTATAAAAGAGGGGAAGTGGGTGATTTCCCACCTTCCCATCTCTTCCTCTTACCACCACCATCTCCTCTACTTGTTACACTCTGGCATCCTCCAAGTCCAAAGCCGATGACGTGTCCTACGACGACTCCGACAGCGACTCTGCGGAGGAGGAGGCGACTCCTCCTCCTCAGCCGCCAGCCGACGTCTGGGGTCCCTTCAATCACCGCTGCACCTCTGCCCTCGTCCTTTGGCTTCTCCCCTTCAACCTCACCTTCCCGATCGATGAAGACACCCGTCAGAAGATCCTCCCCGCTATTCATGCCGCTCTTCCCGCCCTTGTAAGTATCGTCTGGACTTTTACTTGTTCTTAAACGTTTACTGACACTCTTACTCCCAGGACGAACACCACCAATTCTGGCTGACTAATGATACGCAGTTGCCACCGCTACTCTGTCAACTACAAAAGTTATGTAGTAGGAAAGTTTAAACTGGAATATCGTTATCCAAGTACTTCCTGGTGGTTCGTATTTTCCCAAGGTAATGTGTACTAGTTTTAAACCAAGAATTAAATTGCTCCGGTTAACTAAACATAGTTAATTGGAGAATGGAAGGACTTAGTTCTATCGGAGAACTGTCAGTAGGATTCTGCAGGTACTTAGTCAGTAGTCATAGCGCTGATCACCAATCACAGCGGTCTTGCGTGGATGGAATGTCAGTATTCCCAGTATCTTATGTAATCAGTTGGTCGGTATTCGGCGGTTTCAGGCAGTCAGTCGGTGTATTCTTGCTTGTCGTTGATTATTCGGCGGTAGTGGAGGCACACAGTATTTCTTGAGAGTAAACTTAGGAGGCTGCGACAATATAAGTTGTTGTTGGCAGGGAGAAATTGAAAGGGGAAAAGTAGTTTTCATTGATGGGAAGTCACTTCTTATATACTATTTTCTACATGCTATTTTAACTACTGGAATCAAACGTTTGGAGGAAGCCACAATTTATCAAACTTCCTCTGACGCTGTTGTGGGTTTGATCTGACTCCTTTGTGCTCCATGCCTGATGCTTCCTTTTTGACCTAACAATGGCTTTGTTCTGACTCTGCTTGATTAGGGTTCTTGAGTTGGCTTCGTTCGGTCCGTTTGATCCGGGCAAATCACGTGCTTTGATAAAAATAAAGATCCGGAATTTCCCGGCCTAAAAGGGTGAGTGGGTCTTATCACTATTTGCTATGTTCTGACTCCCATTTAATTGGGAGGCTGACAACTCTTTCACCAATTCTATCAACGTCTCCGTTTCCTTTTCGAACTATGCGAGCAGGTCCCAGAGGAATGGCTGAACTACCTCGCTGACAATGAGCCCGACGTGCGTAACAAAATGTGTGCCTCTTTCATTATCAGACTAACTTCTACTCCAATTACCCCCACTCCCGACTTCGTTCAATGTCCCTGTTGCCGTTGCGCCTCCGCTTGACACCTCCGTTAATCGGCCCAAACTTAGCTGCCTCAATTACATCGTCTTCCCCGAGCCCGAGGATCCGCCACCTCCAGCGAAGAAAGCGCGCACCAGCAAGGCTGCGCCTATGCCGCCTCCACCTCCAACGCCCAAGCCTTCCATTAAGAAGTCAACCACTGTTCCCTCGAGTATGCCCATGGCGTCTGGCTCTAAGGCCGCCACTGCCTCTGAAGGTCGCGAGCTATGTTTGTCCAAAGTGTGCGTCCCTTTTACTTTGCTCTTAATAGCGTTCTGACTACTTTTACTTTTAACTGACAGCTCCGGAAAACGTAAGCACAACGAACTGGAGCCTACCTTCACCGCCATCGATGAGCAGGACGACGACTCCGACGGGAATGATGTCCTCGAGGACTCGGTGCGTTCCTTTTTGCTCTTATCCAAGGCCTTGTACTAACTATTTCACCCTTACTCAGGTCGAGCCCTCGGCCGATGTTAAACCCGCCGCGAACAAGAACATCATGGTTGATGTTAAACAGCACACGAAGCCGGGCGCCACCGTCGCTGCCCCATCTCTCAAGCGGATGGACAAGCTCGACGAGAAGAAGACCGCCCAGTCCATCATCGACGCCCTCACGCATCGCTTCAAGGACCGGATTAAAAGTGGTAAGCCCGCTCCCTTATTTATTTTAAATCTCCATCTCACCGCTTGCTCAGACTCTTATCAATTCAACCTCAACGTTGGCCCCTTGCACCCCCTGATGTACGTTTTCAAGAAGGATAAGAAAGCACCCGTCTGCGACGCTTGGTCCCACATTATACCGGAGTCCCTCTCCCGCTGATACACTGGCAACTGACCCAGCAGTGTGGGAAGTGAGCAGGAATAGTGCAATGCAGGAGTGCTGAAGGTCGAGACCAACTAACTACCACAAAACCACCAACCTAACACTAAACCACTGCAAGACAGAAGTCATTGTGTTGTTTGTTCGGGGATAAGACCAAGTATTAGGTCTATCAGACGAGATTTACGGTGATAGTCTTTCCAAGAATCACTTGTGTAAATGGCCCTTGTCCGAGCGATCCCAAGGATGTTTGTCTGCAATCGACTAGATTGTATACACAACACACAGTAGGTCGGCGCTTTTAGGGCCTTCCGAGATACAATGGGGTGCGATTTGATCGCGATATTGGGTTTTATTCGGGCTCAAAGGCCCTTCAGCAATGGTATCGACTGGGCTCAACAGGCTTTCAACAATTATAAACGGATCGACTTGATTGTCGACTACGAGTACAATGGTGTATATGGCCTGGAGCAGATGCAAGAACAGTGTTTTAAATCGTGTATATGGTTGATTTCCGTAAAGGAGCACACAACCTACCAACAACTAATCGTGACTATATTCTAGCCGCCAACTAGTCGCCGATGCGATTGGCTTGTAAACCCCCCAGAACACACTGGTGAACTGTATAAACGCGATTGAACAAGTATAAACTTGTAAGAACTTCCAGGCCAGGTAAACTTCCAGGCCAATAAAACTTCCAGGCTCAATGTATTGTGACTTCCAGGCTCAAATGTTTAACTTCCAGGCCAATGTACTTCCAGGCTCAAATGTTATAACTTCCAGGCTCAGGTGTTTATATCAATCCAAAGGTATATTCACACACTATAAAGCAGACTCTACTGAGCAATGCCTTAAGGCGAACAGAGCACACAATCTAACCAAGCAGCTGGTTGTGACTATTCCTAGCCTCCAACCAGCCACTGGCGCGATTCGCTACTGTTCCCTCTCGAGCAGGCG